TTTCCCCTGATTCCCGGGCGGAGGGGAAGCTGCGTCATGGGCTGGAATGGCAGCCAGGGCCCTTCCTCCTCCTCCTCCTGGCACCCAAAGGTGCCTCGAGAGGCAGCGCTGCCCGGGGATGCTGCAGCGAGCCCGGAGGAGGAGGAGGAGGACGAGGAAGGAGGAGAGATGCCTTGGCAGCGCATCCCGAAACCTGCGGGATAAACCATCGCCCACGGAGTGCCAGGCTCTCCCACATGGAATTAGGGCAGGGAAGCGAGCGGAGGCCGGGCCTCGGCAGAGGGCAGCAGCAGCCTGCGGAGCAGGGGGTCCCCACAGCCGCCCACAGCCCCCCAGCCCAGAACCTTGGTGGGACCCAGGGTTCAACCCGGAACCGCAGCCCCTCGGGACCGAGAGCGAGTCCCAGTCCCTAACCCGCATCCCAGAACCCGAATCGCTGCTCCCTGCATCCCTGATCCTGCACCCAACACCCAGACCCAGGATCATGGCCCTGGAGCAGCATTCCAGACCCCAAGTCATAGAATCATAGAATCATAGAATGCTTGGGGTTGGAAGGGACCTCTAGAGATCATCTAGTCCAACCCCTGCACATGCAGGGTCACCTAGAGCACGTGGCACAGGACTGTGTCCTGTGGGTTTGAAGATCTCCAGAGAAGGAGACTCCACAACCTCTCTGGGCAGCCTGTTCCAGTGCTCTGGCACCCTCACTGGGAAGAAATTTTTCCTTAAGTTCCTATGGAAATTTTGGTGCTTCAAAGTCACTGCTCCCTACATCCCTGATCCTGAACCTAGCACCCAGACCCAGGATCATGGCCCTGGAGCAGCATCCCAGACCCCAGATTAGTCCTCCTCATATCTGTGAACCTGAACCCAGCACCCAGGTCAAGGTTCGCAGTGCTGGACCACCATCCAAGACACCAAATTATTGCTCCCCACATCCTCAAACCTGAACCCAGCACCCAGACCCAGGACCATGGCCCTGGAGCAGCATCTCAGATCCCACCTCACTGCTCCCCATGTCCCCGGTGCGCAATGGGAGCACCCAGAGTGCCTCAACCCCTGGGGCTGGGGCCTGCTGGGGCTGGGGGCTGCTGAGGGCCTGGGGCAGCCG